TTTTTTTTTTTTTTTTTTTTGTGGTACTGGGGATTACATGCTAAGCAGGCACTCATCACTGAGCTATGTTCCCAGCCCTAAAAATTTTTTTAGTATTTCATGGGTACCAAGTGAATTCTTCCCCTAAGTACATATCTGTACATCCGTTGATGCCAGCAAAGGAAAGTGGTTGGTAAGGGTTGATGAGAAGGGGAACATTTTTGGCTTCGGAGCCATTTTTCTCACTCTTAGTATATTTGTGAATGTTAATAATGTTGAAAATAATGCTCTTATGATTTTAATTTTTATCATTTACTAACACTTAAAGGATACATATTTTTTATTGCTATAAAGTTTCACATGTCTCCTAAATTAGATTTTTGAGCCTGAGTTCTGTTTGCTTCATATGTTTAGGACAGTCTAGATCTTAAAGCCAAGTTACTTTGATATTTGTTGTTGACTTCAGTGACATTTTTCTGTATATTTTGAAGTAGTATGGAAAACTACAGTTTTTGCTTTTGTCCATGTTACAGCTTTTATTACTGCACTGTGGTACCTTATCTGATGCCATGGAAAATCCTTGTGAAATTTTAAGCCAAGTCCAATGATCCTGACTTATCTTCAGTTTATAATTTAATTCTAACTTAATGTATAGGTTTAGTTAATTAATGTTTTAATGCCTAAATTGATACCAACTAATGCCCACTCTGGATGGCTATATAAAGAAATTGGGAACTATTGGGTACAAAACATGCACCTGGACACTTGAGGGGATCTGAAGTTGAGTAAAAATGGCCATTATTTCAGTGACTTGGACATTATAGGGAGGCTGGGAAAGTGAGCCAAAGGGGCACTGGTGAAAACTTAGGGTGGTTTGTTTGGAAACTTTGGACTCTTGCCTTTCAGCTAACTGTGATTTCATATTTCCATGGTAAGCGGACATGCACATAAATTTAGGCATCCTTCAGGTTTGGTTTTATTAGTTGAAGAACAAGTTAACTTGTACTCTTTTCATTTGCTGTTAAATTTCAGTGTTAGATATATTCATTCTATGAAAATCCAAGTGGTCTTTTTTGCCCTTGTAGAGGTGATTCTTAAACTTTGTTGGAGTAACCCAGAGTGTCTTCATTGATCACAAGATCATAAGTCACACTTTGATTGGTCTTCATGTAGAGAACACAGGGAGGTAGAAAATTAAAAAAAAAAAAACAAAAACCTTAGCTCTTTAGTCAAAATCATTATTCTAGAATTAATATTAGGCTAAAGTTTTTTAGAAACATTTATGGAATACTGGTTGACTCCGTCCTTTGTATGAATTGAGAAGAACCATTTCTTTCTTGCAGGAAAGAGAATCTCGTGAACATCTCCGTTTAGGGTTGATGGGCCTTCCTGCCCCCAAGAACGATTTTGAAATTGTTCTGCCAGAAAATGCTGAGAAGGAGCTGGAAGAGCGTGAAGTGGACGACACGTACATTGAAGATGCTGCTGATGTGGATGCTCGAAAGCAGGTGGGTGTGGTGCCAGAAGAGCATACGCGTGTAGCTGGGAGTCAGAAGGTTTGAAGAATGCAAAGTAACTTAAATGTCTCAGTGTCTACTTAGAAGTATTTTCAGCTTTTAACGTAATTATCCTCAATTAGGTTACATCATTAATAGCGTATATTGGTGTCATTGATAATATACTCACAGTGTCTTGATAGTCATTTTTAAGATGTATGTGTGTGGAAATTTACTCTGTCAGATTCATTTTGCTTTGGTAAAATACACATAGGGGGTTGTTTAGGCATTGCTTTGTCTCGTGAAGAAAAGATGTTAGAAATAGTTACATCTTTGGCTAGTGAGTAGTTTTAAATCAAGTGTAAATTAATAAAACACTAGATTTAGAAGTTTGCAGACTGTGTCAGAAAATATTAGTAACTTAGTCTGCTAACATGCCCTACAGTTACTTTCTCATTTGTATGTAATGACCAGGTGATATATTATTAGCTCCATTTTTGAAATGAAGAGACAGGCTTAGGTGAATTAAGTTTACTTTCCCAGGTCTTGTGGCTGCTAAGTCCTGAATCCTGAGCCAGGAGTGAGATTATGACTCAGGATAATTTTAGGAAGCTTTTTTTTTTTTTTGGGGGGCGGTTTTCTCCGGTACCGGGAACCGAACTCACGACCTTGCGCTTGCCAGGCAGGCGCTTTTGCCGCTGAGCTAAATCCCCAGCCCCTTAGGAAGCTTTTGTCTGGGTTCGGGGGTTGGGAGCTTGTGTGAGTGACATCAGTTGAGGTCCTGGTTCGAGGGAGCCACATACCTGAACATGCTTCCTGGTGCAAGCCAGGGATTTACTTCTTGCATTTTGCAGTCTCAACTAGTTTGAATTACATTGCTTTTTTAGAAACGGCATGGAGTTTTAATGTGTTACCACATTGTTCATAATTTGACAATAAGGAAACATTGGTTGGCTGTTAAAAGTCAGTAGCTTTGGGGTGAAAGGGCAGGGCCGTGTTGTAGGAGTCTCCTGCGTTTCAGATTGCCATTTAGATAGACAAGTAATTCTCTGCTGGATGGAGCCCAATTATTTGGGAAGTGCTCAGGTAGACACTGGAAGTTCTTATGTTCTGTTGTAGTGATAGTGAATAGACTGAGGGCTTTCTGGGCCGTAAACATTACCCTTCTCCAAACTGATACAGATTTCTACAGCTTTACGTTTTGAACATTGGTTTTTTTTTTTTTCCCCTCAAAGAAAATGATTTTTAGCTGGGTGTGGTGGCCTACGCCTGTAATCTCAGCACTCAGGAGGCTGAGGCAGAAGGATCACTGTGAGTTTGAGGTCAGACTGGGCTACAGGGTGAGCTCATGGCCAGCCTGAACTACACAGTGAGACCTTATCTCAAAAATAATAGAAAATGGTTTTTATGGTAGAACATTCTTGATCTTACAGACTGAAGTGTTTTCAGTTTTTTTGAGAAGTGTCATATAATGGATGTAAAATCATTTTTTAGGCCATACGTGAGGCAGAGCGTGTGAAGGAGATGAAACGAATGCACAAAGCTGTCCAGAAAGATCTGCCAAGACCATCCGAAGTAAGTATTGAAATTTCTGGTTTGGAAGTTTTTCTCATTTCTTCTCCCTCTCTCCCTTTCTCTCTCCCTTTCCTTCCTTCCTTTATTTAGTAGTAGGTATTGAACGTAGGGCCTCCGCATTGAGCTGTGTTCCCAGTCTTTTTGAACATTATTTTGAGGCATGTTCTTCCCAAGTAGCCAAGTGGCCCAAACTGGGCTCAAACTTGTGATCCTCTTGCCTCAGCGTCTCAGTGCAACACTCAGGCATGCACCACCACACCTGCTTTAAGTTTCTTTTCATATAACTGATGCTTCTTACATTACTCATAAAGACAGTACAACAATATTTCATCTGCTGAATGGAATATAGGAAAGTCGTTCCCAATCCAGTCTTTAAAATGTGCTGAAAATAAAAGGTAGATAACAGGAAATAGGGAGACAAATCTTTTGCAAAAGGAAGGGGACCAAGAGATGGAGGGAGGGAGAAGGGTAAAAAGAACTAAGGTAGCCGGGCATAGTGGCACACGTTTGTAATTCCAGCATTCAGGAGGCTGAGGCAGGAGGATTGTTGCAAGTTGGAGACCAGCCTTGGCTACAAAGTGAAGTGGTTGAAGACCAGCCTGAATTGCATAGTGAGAGCTTCTCTCAAAAAGACAAAAATGAATAAAAAGAACTAAAAAAAAAAAGTGTATCTGAGTAACCAATTTGAAGATATCAATATGTAATACAACCACCACTGTTAATTTCCTATCATCTTGTCTGAAATTCTGTATTGCTTCTAGTGTTTTGGTGTTGTTTTGTTTATGTCTGTGTGTCTGTTAATATGTTTTCATTCTTTTATCTTAAAAATAAAAAAATTCATGCACACAAAAAAAAGAACTAAGATGTGTTGGGTGCGTGCATCAACTCCCCATGATGAATGTGATCATCATGTACTGATCCTTGTAATTTAGAAGGAAAATAAAATAACTTTTGAAATGTAAAACCGCTGTTCATGCTGTAAAAGCAGTAACAGTAGTATGTTGCAGTGGCATGTTCGTTAATTGTACTTGTTTTAAAATTTTAGGTAAATGAAACTATTCTAAGACCATTAAATGTAGAACCACCTCTAACAGATTTACAGAAAAGTGAAGAATTAATCAAAAAAGAAATGATTACAATGCTTCATTATGACCTTCTACATCACCCTTACGAACCTTCTGGAAATAAGAAAGGAAAAACTGTGGGATTTGGTACCAATAACTCAGAACACATTACCTATCTGGAACATAATCCTTACGAAAAGTTCACCAAAGAAGAACTGAAAAAGGTATGATTGAGCACAGCTTGCTTTTGTTGTGAGATTTAAGCATTTATCAGGTGCCGTGTGTGTCGTGGGAAAGCCTGAATGTGTTTTGGCACATTAGCACTGGAGTAGCACAAGCATGCAGTTAAGAGATGTGTGTTCATATTGAGTGAGTGAAAAGACAGGCTTGACACAACTTCATGTCCATGTTTATTAGATAGACTGGTTTTGGTGGCAAGGTGTTTTGGGTTAATGTGCATCGTTGGTTTGGTTGATAGTTGCAGTGATTGCCATTTTGTGTGGTCAACTCTGCTGTCTGAGAGTAGAATTGAATGCCTTTAATACTTAAAGCTCACTTGCTTAGACTATAAGGAAAATGAAGAATTTACAGATACCCTTTGGCTTACGATGGATTATGTCCTGATAACCCATTATAAGTTGAAAATAGTATTTTGAAAATGCATTTTCTACCCCTAACCTACCATACCCCGTGGCAACACTGCACTCTGTAGAACCACATGGCTGGCAGGAGCTGCTACCCAGCCTCTTTGACAGCCTGTGAACAGGTCAGGATTCCAAATACTGGGTGCGTAGCACTTTTGTACCATTTTAATGTCAAAAAGTCAAAGTATCAGTTGGCGACTGTCAGCATTAAAAGTATTAACACGTTAAACCACTCACCAGTTCCAAGAAAGGGAATGCATTTTACAGAATTTACTTCTTTCATGATTTCCCAGTCTACTTTTTGCATCATGAAGAAATAATTCCATATATAGTCTGTGTCCTGCATCTTCTCCAGTGTACATTTCATTCTTTCTGCTTGATGGAGCAAGCAGCCGTGATTATGAGTAAAAATCTCTGCAGTAGGATAAGAAAATAAAGATGGTTTCTAGTTGGAAGCTATTACGGTTTGAGTATGTCTTGTAAAACTCAGGTTGAAATTTAATTGCCCCATAACAGTATAAGAGGGGGCACCATTAAGAAAGGATTAGACCCCAGGCTGTACCCCCCAGGTGGGTGTTATCCCTGGAGTGTGTGAGTTCTCTTGGGTGATGTCCTTTGCCATGGTTTCCTCTGCCATGATGTCCTCTGCAGGCTGCTATCTTGGACTTCCTGGCCCCCAGATCTGTGAAGAGTAGATTCCTAAGTCAGCCAGGCTCCGGTGTCCCTGTGCTGTGTTCAGCTCTGAGGAGTGGTGGGAGACTTCTTGCATGCTTGGCACTGCAAACTTCTTCCTCCTGTCTTCTCAAGCTTCCTTTCTCTACCTGCTCACAGTCTCACTTTCTGAGCTCCTTACTGCACAGTCATTCATATTTATTAGAGGATTTTGAGACAGTGGAGAAAGGGAGGAGGTTTAGATTTATATTTCAGCATCTCGCCCCCTGGATTTCTGGGCACCTTTGAGCTTCCTTTTTTAGTGAGTGGGATAGGGAAGCTGACATCTGCTGAGTGCCTGCCCTGGCAGGCCAGTTAATCACTGAGTGGAGACCCGGGCTCCAAAATCAATACTTGCATAGTTCTTTCTTTTTAGAGTGAAAAACTGAGGAGAAGAAGGAATTTAGGAAATAAATTTTCTAAAATTTATTGTGTGTATGGCAGCCTGAAACAAGGATCACATTGTTGCTCCTAGAGGTTGTGAGGAGAGAAATTCTAATGTAGGTTTTGAAGATAATAATTCTAAGTACTGCCTTGGGATTATTTGAAACAAATAATGTTAAATAGTCTCCAATATTTTTCTGTTTGTATTTGTCTTTGTTCCCAAAAGAATTTGAAGCAGATTCCTTATTCTTATTCTTTAAAGATAATTTAGCCACATTCTCTCCTAATGATAAGAGCTGAACTTAAAAATTTTTACTGTGTACAATTTTAGAATGAAATGTCATTTGTCTTTTAATAGTTTTGAATTTTTATCATGTACATTAAAATAGGTTTGTTTGTATTTCTTTTAAGAGGTATTGCTTAAAAGTATCCATTCTTTATTTTCTATTGAAACGACTTTCTACTTTATTAACATTTTGGTGGTTGGTCATTTGTCTGGTTTATGTTTTTTTCTTTGTTTGGCTTTTCGAGACAGGGTCTCACTGTGCAGTCCAGGCTGGCCTCAAACTCTTGTTTATGTATTTTTGATGTGTTTAATTTCCAGTGATACTAGAAAGACCGAAAGCCTTCTCTAAAGTACAGAGGTGGTTGCCAGTTTTTCTGGAGCCACGATATGAGGGTTGGGAGAGGGGTATGTGATTGCTTATGGAACTCTTTCTGGTTTGGGGCTGGTTTTTTAAGTATATTATTATTTACTTAATCCTAATGATAAATGTGTTAGGTAGACATTCTCATTTTTCATCTGAGAAATGGGCTCAGAGAAATTAAGCCATTCAGTCAGCCATCTATATGGTAAAGCTGTGACTGGAACTGAGGTTCTTTAGGAGCAAACTGAACCTGGTGTATGGTCCATCATTATGTGGTTTGTGCCCTTAATCCTGTCTTTGGCACCCTTAGGGGTGTTCCTTCAGAATGGGAAAAAAAGGCTCTATCAAGAAGATGCCTGGTCCCTTTCCTGCACCATGCCGTTGTGAATGTGGGACAGAGCAGTTGGAGAGCCCGCAGGTGGTAGTGCTGCTGGGCTTGTGTCCTGCCTTGCCTGCTTACTTGTTCCAGCGTTGTGATCTGGAATAAACTGTTTAATCTTACTGAGCCTTAGTTTCACTGGCTTTGACGTGAAGTCGCCATATTGGTTCCTTTGTAAGATGGTTATGATCTTTGGAAATAATGGAAGTAAAACTTTAAAAACATAGTGTGTAAATGAGGAATACTGCAGCTGCTGTTACAGTGAGCAGAAGCAAAAAAGTTTATATTCTTGGAGAAACATGATGCTTGCCTTTTAAAAATTAGTCTGCACCAACTGTATCATAGGCTTTTTAATTCATTTGACTTAGCTCTTTCCAGCCCCCAAGCCCTAACAAAATGAAACAACCAACCAGAAGTCGTTACTTTTGGCCTACAAGGACAGAAACTAGACTTCTGAAGCCCTCTGATGATGGCAAGTACTTGTTGTGCCTAAACTTACTGAAATTGTTTTTGTGCCCAGGCCCAGGACATTCTGGTGCAGGAGATGGAAGTGGTCAAACAAGGAATGAGCCATGGAGAACTCTCCAGTGAAGCCTATAACCAGGTGTGGGAAGAATGCTACAGTCAAGTTTTGTATCTTCCTGGCCAGAGCCGCTACACACGGGCCAACCTAGCTAGCAAAAAGGACAGGATTGAATCGCTTGAAAAGAGGCTGGAGGTTGGTATCCTTTTACAGCTGTAATTCACATGTACCTTCACTGAAGTTATGAACCGAGTAATACTACTGGCAACAACTTTAGTAAAACAGATCTGAGCTGGTACACTTAAGTGTTTGCTTTTCCTTGGTCTTTTTTGTTTTTTGTTTTTGTTTTTGATATCGGGAATCGAACTCAGAACCTCGCACTTGCCAGGCAGGCTCTTGAAATGCTGAGCTATATCCCCAGCTCTTCCTTGGCCTTGTTAATCAGTTTCAGAATTGCTGGCCTTCCAGGGAGTGCCCTGCAGGTTGGACCTTTCATATGTGAGAGAGAGGAGCCCCTGAGTTGACGCTAGTCACCTGCAGCAGTCTCTTCTTTAAGGAGGGTGCTCAGTGGGACCAAGGGATTTCCTTTCTGTAGGTAGAGAGCGCATGTGCAAGTTTTTAATACTTGTCTGTGCTCTGACTCTGGTAGACTTGGGTTAGAAAGGGTGGAGCTGGATTACCAGATGATAGCTTCTGTGATTTTCCATGTCTATGAAAATGTTGCCACATTCTAGGTGCAGTTTCATGGCGTGTGGTTTCTTAATAAAGTCTGCATGTTTTGAATGCCAGAATCTGTGTAGGCATTTTGCCAGTGGCATGTAAATTGTGGTTCACAGACCACCAGGCTGCCTTGTGGATTCTTAATGGTGGTCTTTAGGGATGTTTCTGAGGCCAGGACGGGATGGGAAGAAGGGGTACTTCACACAGTTGAATGTAGAAAGTGGCTTCAGTTTCCTCTTTTATGTTTTCACCAGTCTTTCTTTGCAGAAAGGATTTGAAAATATTTGTATTTGGTTTAAATTCAGTATAGTAAATCACCTGGGGTGGCTGGGGCTGTGTGCTACAGGAGAAACAAGCAGGATAGAGCAGTACCTTTTAACTTGAGTTATTGTAAGTCTTAATTTAACCTTTGAGACTGCATGTATAGGCACCTGATAGTTAACACCTGTAAGCCTCAGTTTTTCAGTTAATGGGAGATCGGGAAATCAATGCCTCCGAAATAATTCTCTTGGTGAAATCTTAAATTCAGGGCTGCTGCTCCTGCTAGCTGTTTCAGCAACTTCCAGCAGGGTGTGCTGTTGCTCTGTGTTTTATTCTTAAAGTCGGGGGAGGAGGGGTTATACTTTGTGTCCTGCAGACTTCATTTCCTACAAATGCTAGTTAGCAGTGCAATTCTGATCTAAGGTCAGCGTCCTAATTGATTAGAAAGCTATTTGGAAAGCTTCCTTGTAACATTTATATGTAAATACTTAGGTCTCTCATTTAGTTTAAAAATTTTCTCATTCATCGTGGGTAAACTGTTTCTGCCACAAATAGCAAGGACATTCTGTGCTGTTTCAAATAAAAACATTTTTTCTCTAAATCTCGTTTACTTTGTTGAGGCACTAACTTTCACAACAGCAAATAAATGTGTCACAAAGTGAGTGGAGCCATAAAGTACAGTAATTTTTATTTCTGTGTTGAATTGGCCTTGTGAGTTTTGAAGGGAAAAATGTAGAAAGAACCACGGCTGTTCTTTTGGAGATTTATTTGGGTCGTTTATGAGCAACCATTAAAAACATGTGGTTCTCTTTGTTCAGTGCAGTACCAGGAACTGAAATCTTCCGTTGAACTATTTTTGTTGAAGGATTGGTGACTTTGGAAGAATATTCATAAAACAGTCTGAAGTAATTTTTCTCTTCTTGACTCCTGGATAACTTGCTCCATTGTTTACCCAGCTAGTTACTTTTAAGGAATACTTAATCAGATCCTTTAATTTAGTAAACTGTGCTCATTTCAAATGAAAGTTCATTAAATCTTTAAGAAGAAAAGCAACTCAAAGACCCAAATAAACAAATTCCCTATTTTATTTGTATCCATCCCTGATTCAGAACAAGGTTTCTCTTAGCTTTTGAAGATTCAGTTTTACTGGTTTGAAATACATAAATATTTTATTTCATTTGTGGTAATTCTTTCATCATTTCAGTTGATTGCTAAATTATAAACATTATTCAAAGTTTGTTGTGGGGAAGGAACTCCAGTTATATTGTATAAACTAAATGCTATACTTAAATTATCCTTTCCACTCTTGGGTTCAGGGAGATGGCCTTTCTGGGCATGCACAGCACACCGTGGCTGCCAGTATGTTTGACTTTTGCTGCCATGAACTTTGGAACAGAGAATCTAAATTGTGGCCCGATCACAGCCCATCAGGCAAGATGAAATCCAGCTCTGTCGTGGCTGATGGCTCCTAAATGGATTAAAAAAATATGCCCTGGGGTTTATGCTGGAGCTAGTCATTGAGCCGTTCCTTGTGATTAATATTTGAAACTCAGTACTTAAATGAAAATCCTTAAGATGCTCATTTAAAACTAATATAACCATGCTCAGGTTTTATGTAGGGTGGCATAGAGGGTGTGTGTGTGTGTACATGTGCACGTGTGTGCATGCACACAAGAGGTCTGTTAAAAAATAGATCTGTAGTCACAGGTCAGAAGTAAGTGGATAAGACTTTCGAATTGTAACCAAGTCCTTGCATTTTATTCTGCTTTAGAGGGAGAATTCACTCCGACCCTTGGCAGACATTTGTGTGTACGGGGCAGCATTGGGAAGCAGAAATGACAGCTAATCTCAGAGAAGGGAAAGCTGTGAGAGCATGGTACAGAGGGCATGTGAACACTGCAGCCATGGTCTTGTGCGTTTTAATGGCTTCTGTGGGCACAGCAGGTGTTCAGTAGGAGAGTAGAGCCATGGCTGTTCGTGTTGATGGCCCAAAGAAATAAGAAAAGCTTAATTTCTGTTCAGTGCCTTTCTTTTTCTTTTCTTTTTCTTTTTCTTTTTCTTTTCTTTTCTTTTCTTTTCTTTTCTTTCTTCTTTTTTTTTTCTCTTTTTAAAAGAAGGGATGACTGGAAGCTGGGTGTGGTGATGTGTGTCTGTAATCCCATCACTTGGGAGGCTGAGGCAGGAGGATTGCCAGGAGTTTGAGGCCAACCTGAACTACAAAGCAAGACCCTGTCTCAACCTCTGCCCGCTCCAGAAAAGGGGTGGTTGTAACCCATTGTAGGAACATTTTCATCAACTGATTAAGAAATGGAAGAATTTTCCCCTTATTTACTCTTGTGTTCAGAGAGTGTTAATGAGCATGTGTTGTGTACCAGACACTGCTCTGGGCCGTGGGTATGAGGCCAGGGACAGGACAGAGCGTGCTCTGCTCTCGGGTGGCGGTTATCTGGAAAATGCCCCCTGTGGAGAATCTCATTTCTGATGATGCCGGATAAATGAGTCACTTCTGTACTTGGGAAATGCAAATAGAATTTGAAGTGTTCTAATTTGTTTCCACTTTAAGTGGAAATAGGAAATCATCTGAAGACATTTTGAGTGAAATAATTTCTAGTAGGTGCAAAAGTCAAATGAGAAGTCTGAATTTAGGCCTGCCATTAAATTTAATAGTATTTGAAATAGTGTCTAAACTGCTGTGTTGAGGAAGCTTGGCTGAAAAGTGGATTTTGTCATATTAGCTATAAAAATGGAAAGCTTTCCTTAGAGGTAGAAGCTGAGTCCAGAAGTAATACGTCTCCCTGCATTTTACTGGCACAGTCAAGGTAGTCAAGAAATATTATGTAACATTGACTTGCTGGGAATAAAGTAACTTAAAGAACACAGATAACACATTTAAGATCCTTCTGGTGTTTTTGTAAAATTCTTCTGAGGACCCCTGACTTTCTTGAGGGTTATGTTTCAGCAAAATTGGCTGCACAGTGAATCCCATTTTCTCAGTGATTTCATTATAAAGCTGGTTATTTTTACACAGGGACAAATTTCCATAACGCTGGAGAGTGAAATGGGAAAGGTAGGTGGGCCGTGTGGGTGGAGGGCGCCACATTTGCCGTGGCCGCCGTGGTTCCTGCTCCAGTCCCTTGCAAGGCTGCGGTGGGAGGTGTGCTGGGAAGAGTGGTGCGCAGTGCAGGGGCGCAGTTCCCAGTCTGTGGAATGCTCTGTCCTGGGGTCTGCTCTCTCCAGGACCTTTGAGGCATCTGCCGAATTCCTTGTCCTCAGTGAAAGCTGAGAGCCAGCAGAGGTCTTCCCTAGTGCCTGGGCTGCTTGTCAGTCCCAGGCTCTGCTGATCTTATTCTGGGCAGTTTGTGTTTCCTTCCTTTTTTTTTCCTGTCTTTTTGAGACAGGGTGTTGCTATGCAGTTCAGGCTGGCCTTGAGCTCATTTTGTAACCCAGGCTGATCTCAACTCACAATGATCCTCCTGCCTCAGCCTTCCGAGTGCTGGGATTACAGGCGTGTGCCACCACACCTGGCCTTGTGTTTCCCTTCCTAACAGTGCAGATGCCGGTGCTCCCTCAGGACTATAGTAGGTGTGCCTTGCTGGTTAGCTTGCTGGCCAAGAATGTGGTCTGATGGCTGCTTCCTGTGATAGATGCGAGCACCATTAACTGCCTTGGCCCTGCAGCTTGTCAGCAGAGAGAAAGTTCCCTGGAAACCCTGCATGGAGGTGAAAGGAGAGCCACTCACAGGCTCTAGTTTGCAGGCGAGGTGATGGGTCCACATCTTTACTATTCAAGGGTCCTATTGCTGAAGGATGGCCGGAAGTGGAGCTGCCGAGGCTGAGTACTTTGGGTAGTCGTAACGCTGTTTTTGTAGCGGTCTTCAGTTATATTCTGGGCCCCCAAGCAAGGATTTCAGTGAAGGATGCTCTTAATGTTTCTGAATTTCCCTAACAGTCTCTTGCTGAAGACAGTACTGGAAGCCCAAGAAGAACGTGTTTATTTTGGAATTTCTTAAGCTTAGTAACCTTAACAAGCTCAGCGAGCTTGAAAGTAACAATTACACTTTTATAAGTCTTATACAGCCCCCTTTTGTAATGACCCAGGGAAACACTTACTGGTCCACTGATTCATCTCCTGGGGACCATCAGTTTTCCACTGGTCTCTGGCCAGTCTTTTTGAGACAGTTTCCCTTCTATGCATTTAAAAAAATAACATTTGTA